TTTTTCTTATTTATTATTGTTTAAAATTTTTAATTTATTTCCAATTTTCCTATTCTTTTATATAGTATATTTCATCGATTTCCCTATTTCTTTTTTATCTGTGATAAATATATTTTCCATTTTCATTGTTCATTATTTTTTATTCTTCGCTTTTTTCTTATTTATTGATTACAATTTTTTTATTTCTCATTCAAAATAATACGATCACGATAAATTTTTTCTTCTTTTATATTTCAATTTTCTTATTACTAGAACGAAACTTGCGCGGCAATTTTAAAACAAACCCATCCGTTCCATCTTATAATTTGTTCACGTTACTCTCGAGAAGTAAGAACTTGAATTGTTTCAAAATAGTATTCAACTAGTATTTCGTGCTAAAGCATAAATTAAATCGTATCGTACGGAACACGAACCTTCTTCCTTTGAACAGTGGTAAGAAAAGAAAAGTGGAATGTAAATTAATTTGAAATCTCGGAAGAAGTTGGTATCCTAATATTTCTATGTAAACTTGCCACAATAAAACTTAAATGAAACCAAGTTTTCGGCACCACGATTTGTATTTGAAAGAAGAATAGAATATTATGTACTTTTTGGCCCTGTGTCTATAGAAATAATTCTCAAGAAGGTTGCTCGTTCGTGGGAAACACGGAAATGAAAATGGATTGTAACGAAAAAATTAAACGATAAAGAACAATACTATTATTTTTTAATCTTTCCGTGGATTCTCTTCTCTTAAAATGGTAAGAGCAGAAGAAGAAAAAAGAATTCGAAAGAACAATGTGGAACTTGTTACAAGTTTTATGAGCTTTTATTTTATATTTGCGCTGGAAAAGTTTAAAATTTAAAGAAATTCTTGAGAAAAAAATGTTAATCGTAATAAATTTCGTTCGTAAATTGCTACGTATGAAATGTCGATTCTAGAATTCGAAAAATGCAAATTTTGGTAAGTTCGAAATAATCTTAAGTGAAAGAATAATTATAATTTCCTCAAATTGGTAAATTTCTATTTCCAATTACTTTTTCAACATTTTTTTCATAATTTTAAATTTTTATAAATGAAACTCATAAATATGCATTCATGTTTCAGGTACATTAGATACATCTAATAAATTTATATTTAATTGAACATTGTATATATTTCATATTTGAAATATGATAGAAATTCAGTTTTACGATATTTGAACAGAAGATAGAAATATTAAAAAATAGAGCATAGTTGATATACAATCCAAAATGATTTGCCAAATAAAATTCCTCAGTTTGAGAAAGTAATTCTTCTTTACTTTCAAAATAAATAATTGTAAGAAACACAGGAGAGGTTTGTTCAAGTAAGAGACATTATTTTATACAAGTACAATAATTTTTTTCTTATCACGAGAACCGGTTTATATTCAAAGATTACATTTTTGTTTCTTTGGTAGGATTTATTCTTGAAGAAACGAAGATACAAGTAAGTATTGTATTGTTTCATGACAAGAAACGCAGGGAAGAATGAATATTTGTAGTGCGATAAAGAGAGAAAGACAAAGGAAGAAATCATAAAAGAAGAAGAAAATACCGCGCGAATCTCCATTTTCCTCTTTTCATTAATACGAAAAAATCTCTTGATCTGTGTGCCACGATTCGAGAGTAAAGGAAAAAAAGAAAAGGAAGAAAAAAAAACGAAAAATGGAATAGACGAAGAAGCGAGAAATCGATTTGACTTTTCCGGCACATCTGTTTTCAGAATTTGCATGCGAATTCTTGGCCAAAGATTTAAAAGAAACAAGCATTCTCCGCAAAAGAAGAAAGTGTGAAGTTCGAGTTCCCTGGCCACACGTGTCAATTGAATGTTTTCCAGTCTGAGAATTACAAACGTGAAAGATGGAAACTCGAAAAGAGAGTTCAATATGTATATTTATCTATTATCGATGAAAATCAATAGAAAAATATGCTCGAAGAGTTGGAGAAGAAGAAGGAAAAACCGAGCGTGATTCTCTCTTTTTATGGTATTGAACAGAGAACGTAAAATTTCCATGCAAATTCTTATTCTGGTATTTACGAGAGGAAGACATTGCGGCCGGAAATAAAAAGAAGAAAAAAACAGTTCGAGATCTGTTTTAGCGCCCGCGTGCCAGTGGAAAATACGAAGATATAGTGGGAAAACCTGAAAATTGCGTGAAACGACGAAAAAGTGTGACGAGATTTATGCAATTAAAAATTAGAGATGCGAGAGAAGAAACGTGAGAGAATTTTTAGATAAAATTTGAATACGAAACTTTTTAATATGATGAGTGAACAGAAGGAATGAAATAGTAAAGTTAGTCGGTGAGAAGAATTATTTGTGTGTTATCTGAAATATTGATACATGTTAAAACAAATTGTTGAAAACTATACGTATAAAATTAAGAAGAAGAAATTAAAATTTAAAAATGAGAGGCATCACGAGAATTCTTTTAAAATGCATATTTGAAGATGAATGATGAATGAAAATTTCGTATGAATTAGAAATTCAGAAATAAACGAAAATTGGAAGAAACAAGAATAATAGAATGGAAGGTTGTGTCTTTATTCATACATATATATACATACATATACATACATATTGCATATTTTTTCATATATATGTTTATTTTGTAACAATATACATAAATTCGACAAGTGGAAATTTTTTTCTAAAATTCTATGAATAAATAAAACGATTTTTAAATGATTCAAAATCAAAATTATTATTATAAGTATTTAAATTTATTAATAGCATTATTATTATAAGTATTATTTAATACTAATTATTATTTTTATTTTACCATTTATTAGAAGTATTATTTATTATTAATATTATTTTTATAAAATTTTCAGATAAAATTTATATTTTAATCAATTTATCGAGGAATAAGTGAAACGTTGAAAAATTTATTTATCCCCTGAATTTTTACAAGGAACAAAAAAGCACAAAATAAAAACAGTCAAAGATATACAAAATATGAAATGGTAAATACAAACATTTCAGAAACACGTGTTTTGTAATAACAATATGCATTTTCATTTCGTATTGAAATTTTATTACGGAAAAAATCTCATAGAAATATAAGATTATTTATATATTAAAATAATTTATTAAATCTTTACATGTACAATTAAATAAATCCATTTTCCATTGACATTTGTTTTTCACAATATTGAAATCGATCATCAAATTTAAAAAAATCATGTAAGTGCACTATTACTCATAATATAATTAAATTCAAAAAAGTGCCAAAACATTTTCATTAATTATTTAATTCACTTATTTATTTTAATATTGTATTTGCGAATTAAAAATATTAATATTATTTTTAAATCTTAAAAAAATCTTAAAAAATAGAACCATACACCGTTAATTCGTAAGCTTCATTATTAAAGTAGAGAAATTATGGATTCATTATTGGACATTCAGCCACTTCGAACAACCGCCGCGCACACACAAGTTTCGTTTAATATTTATCCTTCCATTTGTAAAAGCTTGGCACGTATCCACGAGCACGAAAATGTGTATATATGTATGCGCATGCGCCCATGCGTTTTAGGCTTGCGCTTCAACCTTAAATCTGCCGGTAAGCCAGAACACATCTGCCACCCACACGGTTTTCTTCTATTTCACCTAGTATTCCTAGTATTCCTCGTCCAAACAAATACCGCAACTACAAAATCGAAAGCCGAGAGATTGTCTATCTTATCTCCTTTCCTTCGTCGACTATTTTTCCCTCGAATCCACTAACTTTACGATTCCAATGTGTAAAGGTTAAGTTAACTAATTGATATCAGAATTAACTTCTTTCGTTCTTTTCTTGTTCTACATCATTAATATTATCGTTGATTTTATTTTTGTGATTTTGTTAGAGAAAAATCATTGAAATTAAAAATTGGACAATGTATATTGAACATTTAAAGATAACATAATAAGTTAATAACGAAATATAAAATTAAATAATATTGAGATATTAATAGATATTAATATAATAGTTTATTGACAAAATATAAAATTGGATATTTTAGATATCGATATAAGATTAATAGCGAAATATGGTCGAATATTTTAGATATTGATACAATGAATTAAGGAAATATGAAATTGAATGATATCGAATACTTTGAATATTGATACGATGGATTAATATCAATATAAAATTGAATGATATCAAATATTTTGGATATTAACACAACGTTTTACTAGCGAATTACTAGCGAATTGGATAATATCGAATATTTTGAATATTTACATAAATTTGGATAATATTATATTAAAATAATATTTACATAATATTTGGATTAATATTGAAATATAAAATTGGATGATATCAAATATTTTCAATATTGATTAATAATAATGATTTAATATCAAAATATAAAATTAATCGCGGATGATAAATCATAAATTTAAGTGCATAGTACATGAATATATGGGAGAATCGAGGTTGCTAGGCAAACAACAATCCTACAGTGAATCTGAATCAACTTGGAATTCTAAAGAACGTTATTCTACCGAGCGAAGAAACTTTCTTTTCATGGAATAGGACAAACTCTACGGGAAAAATTCACCCTCCTACTAGATTCCCAAGAAAAGGGAAGCTGGTATAGAAAACCAAGGTAATTTCGTGTTCTTCTTTCTGTGTGACAATGAGTTTCAATTTTGAATCGATTGAAAAGAAAGAATCAATTGTCGATCACTATAATTTTCCATTTTTTTTTTTTTTTTTTAATGAAATAATTTTACTCAATGATCTTGAGATTTTTTTATTCTTATTACTAAGAAAAATTTAAATTGTAAGTCAGGTTTAAATACAATATAATAATTTGTTAATTAAATATTAAATCATAAAATCGGATGTTTTGCTGTGAAAATTTTGATTATTTCAATCGTAATTTTATTTTTTTTTATATCCAATATAATGTAATACGAAGGTAACATAATACGAGGATCACAATAGAAGCATACTGAATTTTAAAGCATATCCGGAGTTATAGAGCGAATGGGATTCTCCTTCCTCCTAAGGATAAGCATAAACAAGCTTTGCAGCTCAACTTTTTTCAAAATCTTTCGATCATTGAATCGAAATCATTCGCACGAACTCAATATCTATATCAGATCCAGTTATGTAAATAAAAATATCTCTTTTTGATATCTTCTCTCGAAAAAATCAGATTTTTTCTCTCTCTCTCTACTATTTAAAAAGAAAAGTAAAATTAAAAAAAAAATTATCTGATAAAGTACAAATAAAAAACTACATTTTCTTATAAAGATTCAAAAGCATTGTAAACTATTTTGTAAACTAAAAGACATTTTAAAAAGAAAGTAAAAATTTCCTAAAAGTTTCACAGATTTCAGTATTTCTGTACATATAGAATTTTTTTTAAAAAAAAAAAAAAGATATTAAGGGAAAAAGTTTTGGTGTAACAGCTTTAAAACTTTAGAAAAATCGTTTATACGCAAAAGAAGGAGAAATTCTTAATCTGTTGGTCTGCAACAGCTTAGCTTTTGTTGAACTCGTGATAGGTTATAGATTGCTTATTACTAAGAATAATACTAATAATAAGAAAAACTTTTATAAACAAATATAAATCAAATTAATACTGATAATCTTCTAAAAACCATTAAATAATAATTTTTATTTTTAAAAAATTAAAAATGTTTTTAAAGAATAAAGAATAGGTTTTATTATGTCTATATCAAAGTTCTATCATCCAATTCGATTCATCAACATCGAGAATCGAGTTCAGAAAAAGACCAAGCTTAATTCATCATTTTCAGTTGTTTCAGTCTATCCAACCCGTCCACCAACGTTTACTTTTTCGTCGTTTCTCTATTTCTTTGTTGAATCTCCGTTCTCATTCTGTTTCCATTTTATCTTTTAAGGTTACCATTAATACTGTGATCTTATCTTATACCTTCTAGTTGTCCTTTCTTATTCGTTGTTTTTTCTTATGTATTTCCATGCTCTCGTTTCTTTTCTTTTTGCTTTTTTCCATTTAATTTTATTTCTTCAAACTTTCTTTCTTATATGGATGAATTTTATTTCAATTTTGTTTACTTTTTTTTTAACTCTCAATTATTAATATGTTTGATATACAAAATTACTTTGTATTATACTCTATGTTAATATTAAGACATTTCTTCACAATTGTTAAACTATTTTTATAAAAAAATTAATTATAATATATATTAATTATAATAATTAAAGAAACAAAAAGTAATACAATACTATATTTGAAATTGTTAAGCTTACCCGCGTAGTTTTGATTTCGTAAAATGCGCATGCGTAGTATTAACTCCCTTCTCTTCGCGTAAGGTATAAATAGCGATCCGCTAGCGTATTCGTATTCTATTCGTAGCCACCTGTCGAGGGTTGAACTTCGGCTCGAGTTTGTCAAGAGCAAAGCTATTCGTATTTCAAATTTGTTCCGATTTTTTTCATTGAGCTTACAAAAAATAAATATTTAAATAATCTTGCTGTAAATCAATTGATGCCTTTAGATATTTGAAAACTTTGTGTCAAGATTTTAGTATTATAAGATATAGAAGATATTTGAATAGATATTGAAAGATACCATTGAAAAGGTTAAAATTTTAAAAAAAAAGCTAAAACTTTAAAAAAATTTAGGTTTACAATGAATTTATATAAGAATTTTTAAATATATATTTTTTCTGAAATTCAAAGTACTATTTTATTATATTAAATTTATATTCTACTTTTAATATTTATTTCATAAAAGCTGTTTTATTTTTTTCGTTACTATCTGATGAACAGTGCTTGTTTGTAAGTATATATATATATATAGTGATTTTATCTAATAATCTTAAAATACAAATTTTATTATTCAAGAAAAAGTTCAAAAGTTCAACGCTTATTTAATTTTAGAATATATGCAAATTGAACCATGTAATCTACTCGGTTAAACATAGCACGCAAACTTCATATTTTTCCTCTTATTGTTTCATCTTTGAAGTTTTATCTGTTAGAATACTATCTATTATGTGATTTAATTTATGCCCAATTTTGTTTTTCTGTTTTGAATTTCAAGCATGCAAATTAATAAAAAGATATGATCATTCGTATTTTTTACATTTTAATATATAAATTATATTTTATTTGCATCTTGAATGTAATAATTAATATCAATATTTAATTTAATCAAGTTTTTACATTTCTCTATGAATAATAAAAAATAAAAGATCGATGAAATTTTCAATATTTCATTCAAAAATTATCAATATTTGAACTAATTTAATATTTTGAAGAATAATCTTATAATAATTCGCCTGTATCATCTTATAAAATAAAATCTCTATTTTCATTTTCATAACTCGATTTTTCTTTTAAAACTTGGAAATGAAATGGAAAAATAAAAATTATCTTTAATTATCTCACAATACTACCAATAATTTGAGTATTATTTATCAATCTATTAGAAAATATTTAAACAATTTTTTATTGGTTTTAGCAATTAATTACGACTCCCACGAGTCCAACCGTTCAGTTAAGGCTTGTTCTCACGGTACTAATCGTCATTGATGGTTCTGATAACTCACGTCCTCACTGTCAGTTGTGGCACGTACAACCTGCATTATCTACTGGTAAGACAGCGCATCAGGTCCATGGGGAAGTCATGTTCCAAAGGATTTACGAGCATAGATCAGAACGAGGATGATGACAGAGACCTTTCAATCTATCGAATCTATTTATGGTGAGTGATCTTTCTGTTAATAATTTCTCATTTGTAGAAGAAATTCTGAGAATTCTCAGTAGTTCAAATTTGTCAAAATCTTGAATTTTATTCATTATGTTAAGAAACCTGTTGGAAAAAATAAAATGGCCAATATCAGACTATAAGTTAAATTTTTAAAGTACAATGTTGAAATTTGTAAAATTTTTCAATGATTTTTACCTAACTGGTAAAAATAGGTGAAGTTAATTAGAAGCATGCAATTAAATTACAAAATAAATTGTGTATAAAGTTGAATGAAAGGGTAATATAGGTTGGCTCCTCTAATTTGATAACTTCAGATAATTTTTAATGAATGGTAGAAGGAGATAATGTGTTGAAATTAGTTTTTCGTAATTGGACATGTAAAAGAGATATAAAAATCGATCAAAATGATAGAGTGAATAACGAAAAATATTATGAAATAAATTTTCATTTTATGCAATTAGAGCTTTTTAAAATAACTTTAAAAAAAGAATGAACATATCTTGATAATTAAGTCAATCTTTGAGTCTTTGAATATTTTAATAAATAATTATTTTTTTTATTCTATTTTATTAAATTACATAAAATTCTATTTTTAGTTGAACTATTCATTTATATTACATATTATTTATAGATATAAAATATTCCATTTCAAAAAAAATATAAAATATTTCATTTAAAAAAAAAAATATGCCAATATCATTTTGCATATATTCTGTGTCTATCGGCAGAAGAATTAATAACATTAAATCATATTCCGTTCTTAATTCTTCTTCATTCAATTTTCGTTTAAACATTTTTTTTATGCAAAAAGCAATTTAAGAATTATTTTAAAATATCAAGTTAAAAGATTCATTTTATGTAAAGGAGGACATTTTAATTAGAAAAGAGTTAAAAAAAAATACTATAATGAAGAAATAATGTAACAAAGAATATTTTAATATTAAATATTAAACTTTCAAATTGTTTGAAATTCAAACATCTCTTATTTCTGAAAATTTTTATTTTTTTTTTTAATATTTTAGTTCAATGAACCATGTAGATAAAATCAAAATTTTATTTAAAATTATATTGTTAGATTAAATTAGATTAAATAGATTAATTTCGATTAATTAATCATAAAAAATTACAGTTAATTCAATCAATTTATGAAACTCTGGATGGATAATTAATTAAAAATATCGATCATCAATTGTCATTTAATAACATTAAATGTCAATCATCAATTATTAATTTCTAACCGAAATTAAATTAATATTATATCTATATATATTCATATACAAATATCTATTAGATTAAGTGAATATTGTTAACCATCGAAGCTGATTGAGATACTAAATTTGCAGATAAATTCAATTTCACGCCACAGAAAATTTAAATAAGTAATCATATTCTCGATTAATGATTAAATACTTACTTGAATCTTTAATTTTTTTATTCAAAGTTGTGCTGTTATAGGATTAAGTAATTTATCTAATATATTGTTTTATCATGCAATAATAGTGCAAAATAATTGAAAAATAGCTATATCTGAAACATTAATTTTCCTTTTTTCATTTGTAAATCCGAATATTGATTTGCATTTCTATAGACACCTTTTATTTCATTTCTCTCTGTATATGGTTAATGCTCACGCAATTAATCATTCAAATTTAGCTTTGCACATGGTAATTCTTCCTTAAAAGAAAAATACAGCAAATATATTTCGATACTTTTATTAAAACTTCGAATTACGATTAACATAACCTATATAATTTTCAAGTTTATTATTTATATTTTATACTACGTTATATATATTTTATATATATTTTTATAGTTTTAACCAATGTTCAACATAATCAATTTTTTCATCAATATAAAAAGATTTCGATCAAAACGAATCATTCGTTGAAAATTTTAACAAGAACAATATATGAAATAAAATTAAAATCAAATGATTAAAGCATAACAAGAATCCAATGAGAACCCTATTAAAGTTTAGATTATCAAGGGTCATTAGCTCGGTAACGAGGTATCGGCTCATTGGGAATGTTTATAGGAATTCTGTCGTTCTTTATCATACACATCGATTATATACACCGCGTAACATAAATATTGTTTGTAACGGAAATTTATATCAGTCCCGATAAGCATAGTTAATTTCACATGTATAGAATTTACGTAGAAACTAAATTTTCGGCATCGATTCATCGCTCGTGCATCCAGGTTAATTAAGAGTTACTTCGGGATTTCGATAAACGTCGACCGAGACTGATTCAAGCGATAATTACCGTAGTTAGAAAACTTATAAATTACCAGGTAATTTAATTCTCGATATCGATCGAAGAAAATCACTGTGCACAAAGATTCGACCAATTATACTTTTGTTTCGATTAATTGCAAATGAAAAGAATAATTTGTCTTATAGAGTTATTTTTTTCGATTTTGTGATTGACACCGATAGAAGAGAAAATACACACTGATTGCACTGGTTCCATTTTTCAATGTATAACAAAGAGAATGATACAAAGCTTTGTTTTACTAAAAGGTTGTACCATTAGTAGCCACATCGAAAGTAAATGTTTTGTTTTCGTGTGTTAATTAACGAATTGATGAGAAATTAACATGAAAATTGGTCTAAAGATACTAGTTAATTTTATGTATTGGGATATGTGAAATTGAAGAATAATGATTTGGTAATACTGAATAGAGTGGAAATCCGAACTCTAGCTGAGTTTTCTATTATTTGAAATATCAAATGTCGAATGTCACTCCATCTATAAGAACAAATATCTTTTCAATATGATATAATATAATTACAAATATATATCATTTATAATATAAAATAAATAAAAAATTAATTCATTAAATATTAAATCATTAAATTCTTGAAATGTTATTTTTAAAATATTATTTATAATATTTAATATAGTAAAACTTTGTTCATATGAATTTCATTTATAGGAAATTTTATATAATGCTTGATCGTATGAACTTTAGCTGAGTTTACTATTATTCCAACTAGTTCTGAGCGTGACTCCATCTATATAATCTTTATGATAAAAGTTAAAAATTTTCATTGTATCTATGATACAAAATAAGTAAAAAAATTAGTTTATTAAACATTAAGTAGTTATTATACTTGCAATATTATTTCTAAATTTATATTTGATACAATGGAACGTTGAATGAAGTGTTAATAGATATAGTGATTGGTTATTCAAGTTTTACGTAAGTTATTATCTAAAATATTGCCTAGCCTCATTTATATAAATATAGGTATAGCATCTTTATGATATAATATAAGTTAAAAATGAATATCGTGTGATATAAACTAAATAAAAAATTAATTCATTAAATATTTATTAAATAAATTAGATAATTATTATGCATTTTAAAAAAAATTAAATCTGTTGTGAAGGATAGATTATAAATGATAAGTGAAATTTTAATATATGTATATGTCTTTCTTTTTTTTAAAAAAATTTTATATTCGAAAAATGAAATTAAAAAATTGATTAAAATGATACAATTTCGAAATTCCTTTGATTTTATTCTATAAAAAAAACTCGATTAATTTCTATTACCATTTCTAAATTTGTTACGGATTTAGGTATTTATAGAATTCTGTGTGTTCAATCATGCATGATAACAAGCGTTGCAAAATTCATTACTTCCTGAGGTTGTACGTGGTTTTCGCTAATGATTATTTAATCATTAGTTGGTATGTAATAATCACATTTCTTTCTATCAAATGCTTTATTCGATAATCGTTGTAGGCGAATCTCATATGAATATATATTGCAGATATAGAAACATTTTTCAATATCGAAAAGATACAAATTTTTCTGTATTTATTGAAATTAATATCCAATATTACATTTGCACTCGTGTTATTATTATGAGAATAACAATTTCAGGAAGATTATAAACTGCAATTGGACAACTACAAGCTTATGTTAATCTGAAATATCCAATTTCGAGTGGATTTCATATAAAGAAATTGTAATAATATAATCTTGTTCGTTTGATAAAATAGACATACTGAATCAATTAGATATTTAATTGATAATTATCAATTGAAAAAATTAAATTATTAGAAAAAATTCATTTTTAATTTATTATGTTATTAAATCTTTAACTTTTTTAAGTTTCAATCTTTTGAAATACTAATTTGCAACTTTCTAAAGTATGAAAAATTACAAAAATTATTAAATATAGAGACATATTGCATGTATGTATTTATAATAATTTATAGTAAAATCTAGTTAACTATTATAAATTTTTCTTTTTAGTTTCCTACAAATGAACAAAATCGACAAAGAAGCTTCTAATTTAACTAATTTAATTTAATTAACACTTTCTCAATACATCTATCTTCTCGGATAATTATTATTTTCTATATCTAATCATATGGCAATTAATTTGGTATTAACGTATATTTTTTATTATTTTTTATCATTGATTCAATTAAATTAAAAAGTTAAACTTATAGATTGAAAAAAACAATATTTCTTGATTATAAGAGGATAATACCGATAAATTTTGAACCATTCGTGACTAATATGCATATGCATACACAGATATGTATATGTATATTGTACTAGATATAGGATACTTTGAGCAGGCAGCCCACTTGCCCCCCTTTCCGCAGGGCAAAACGGCAATCCCCGTAAGCGAGGAAGTTCATTTCGGGTTTTACGTCCGTCACAAGTGTGTTCCTCCACTCGTGGCCATGGATTTAGCGCAGTAACGAGGCCTGATAAAGCCACTCAACTCCTCGCTTCGTACCACCGCGGAAGTCACGATGACCGTCAGATCGTTTCTATATTCGACCGACTGTTGCTTTTTCTGTCTGTTTTTCACCGAACATGCTTTTGTCTGCCATTCGCAACTTAGAAATTGTTCCTTTGTAGCAATATGATTACGATATATATATGTATGTGTGTGTGTGTCCTGCAATAACTTAATGTACATTAATAAATTATTTATACGCCACATAGATATTTCATTTTTGGTAATAAACAAATTAATTCGTTCTCTATGAAATGAAATTTTAATTACAAATCAAAGAAATATATTGGAAATGTTAACGAAGTGTGATGGAATCGTGCTCTATATATATATATAATTTAACCTAATTTTATATAAAAATTATCTAAGTTTATTAAATCATACTATATAAAAATCATGTTATAAAAATTTCTGTTCTATTTGGTTATATCTTGATGACAAAATTACAGCTATAAATAAAAATAAATTTAGCTCAAATGCTACTATGATAGAAAAAGAAAATCAATTTTTATCTTTACTATTTTAATCTTGAAATTTGAACGAATAAAAGAAATTTTAAATAAAAAAAAAGATAAATAGCTGGAAAAATAAATATCAAAATAAAAGATAAATATTTAAAATAATTTATAAACGTTTATTAATAATATAATATAAAATCGAAAATATAATTATGCAACAATTGTTTATTACATAATTCGAAATTATTAATTCTTCATATTATTAATTCCAGGAATCCTTTTATATGAAATTATTAATAAATAAATTTTATAATAAATTTCATGATACATACAATATAATTTTCTTAAATTTGTCATAAGAATTCAATGAAAGTGTAATTCTCTACATTAAAAGATAAAATGTTTAAAGAATTTTGTGAATTAATGTATCATAAGTATTACATAATAAGTAATAATTGAATTTTGAGGTTAGATCTAAAATGGAATAGATGCCGCGATATTAAGAGATAAAATATTTAATGAATTTTGCAAAGAAATTATGAAAATCATTACATTTCTAGAAGATTACAAAAGACGACAAATCATTTTTGAATTATCATAATGGTAAAACTGTTACGTATTTCTGACACGCTCATAGACACGAATAGGATGTCAACAGGTGAGACCTTCGTGCATTTTCCAACATTTTCCAACACGTACTGGATTTCCTTCTTAACTTCCTACATATTCTTGTTCATTATGCAGTTTACTTTATTTAAATAAGAATCAAAATTTATTGGAATTGTGAATCCTAAGACACTTTCTTTTATTGCATATCGGAAATTAACAATTTGAAATTTTTTATAAGAAACAATATCAAGTTTCATTTTGAAGAAAATTAAAATTAAGTTTGCATGCAGTGAATACATTGAAAAATTATTAATTAATAATTAGAAAATAGGAAATAGAAAAATAATATTTTAAATAATTTCATTATCAAGTGTGAGATATTTATTTGATAAAATAATTCTTAATTAATATTTTTTTGGACATTAACATTAATTATAAGTGTTCTGAAAAATCTTAGGATTTTTTATAATTTTTAAGATAAGATTTTCATCGTTAGTATATATTATAATATTAATGATGTTAGTATTCCATAATTTTTTTTATAATCGAAAGTCTTCTTGTGACTTTGAAAAGGTTCAGAACTATTGCAACAGAGAGGTAATATATTCCGAGGAATTAGATCAATCCAACTTAAGCTCCGCAGCTTACAATTAAGGGAATTTCTCTCGAAGAGGTGAAACATGTACCAATATAAACTTTTTACTTATTTGAATCACTTAAACCATTGAAATTTAAAGTCTTCGTCATCCACTAAATATTTAAATATAATGTCTATTTATTTAAAATAATATATCACAAAATTTATTATTAATAAAAAAAATCGATATTAAAATGATTTACACTAAATTCTTATTTGAAATTTTTTAAGTATAATCGCATGAATAGAATACATTTAAAAAATCATTTTTCTTGTTTTATCATAATTCTTCGATATCGTTGCAAGTGTCTTAACATAAAAATATTGCACTGTTTTTGGCAAGCATGACCTAGTTTTCTTCAATATTTATTCAAGAAATTAAACTATTTTTATTTATTCAAGCAATAATGAATATATAAAGTTATTGTATTATTGATATTGTATTTTTGAACTAATTTTAAAGTTAAAACTGATTCTCCATTTATTTATGAAGTTTAATTTATTATACCTGTAATAATTTAGAAAAAAATTGTAAATGAATTTATTAATAAAATTTAGATTAAATTATCTTAAAATTAAGTTATCTAACACAAATATGATTGAATGAATTTGTACATAAAGGCGCATTATAGTATAAAATAATAAATATCGATGCTGATACTCTTCACAGATTTATTTTAAAATTATTGTACGATTTATTATACCTATAAGTAATCAAACAAAAATTATCACTTAATTCATCAATATTTACTAATAAAATTTAAGTTAAATTAGATTAAGTTAGATTGCCTATAAGACAAAATTATAATGATCTATACATGTTGCCTACATATAGGTAATTGCATTGTGATGCAAAATTACAAGTATTAATATTTTCATTTATGTAATATTTGATTTATTATACTCGTAATAATTAAACAAAAATTTGTCAATCAATTCATCAATACTTATTAATAAAATTTAGATTAAGTTAGGTTGTCTGTAATTCAGAATTATAATCTTTGTATGGGTTATCTTCACATAGGCGTATTCCAGTAATAAAATCAAGCTTATAGTCTGAAAAATAAACTCCATAATTACCATTTAGCAATAATTTACATCACTTACACAATCTTTTCGTGCTTATTTCAGTATCTGCAATCGATTTTCCAAAAATGTTCCATGAATCCATTATTGACATTTTGTAAAATATTAAAGTAGAACCGTATATAGAAATTAGAACGAAGATAAACATTTTACAAAAAAATAAAATTTATCGAGATATTTAAGGACAAAAAAGGACAATTGCGATTCATCGCCGTATATATACATGGCAACGTTCGTTTTGAGAGTGCATTACCCTATTTTGTCATCAACATGCACGCATCACGTATTCATCAAACTCGATTCGACATGATTATATAGCGCTATTCCTGAATGTTGACACCTCATGAGAAGTCCACTTACAATTCTACAATAATTCGATGAAAATACACTTATATTTGCTCTATTATTTAATTAAAAAGGATTTTATTAAATCGTGAGGGAATAAAACTCGTCCGCAAAAGTGTATGAATATTATTTTGTCTCTCGATCGGTGGACACGTTAAATTTGAGGATTCTCAATAGTGATCTTGTAGCGTATGCAGAAAGTTTCGCGTATAATCTCATGTTTGGTCTAACTGTTATCGAGGGCCGTATCCCTCGGATGTGAAGAAATTCAGCGAGGCGAGTCCGTAAACGATAGCCAACCGGAAGTGGTTTCGTTCTCCATAGTATAGATATACATCCTAGTGTATTTCGGATAGTAACCGATCTCTGTAGCGATAGGAACGAGCAAGAGTTCTGAAACAAGAGTAGACAATCATATTGGAGAATTAGATTTGAATTGAAGCGAGAGAAATTTTCAATTTTATTTTGAACAACTTAAAATTTAGATTAATAAATAGTAGATTATGAGAAAAATTGAAGAATAAACTTTTACAAATGATTTTTCTAATGAACAAATGATCCAATTATTGTAATTTAACATTAAATAAGTATTTGTTAAGTATTTCTTAATATATTATTTAAAACTTCAGAAATTTTTAAGTATTTTTTAAGTATGCCACTTACTTAAAAAACAATGATATTGTTCCAAAAAATCTGACAATAAAATGATACAGATGAGAGTGCTTTCTAAAAAAAATATATATATATATTTATTCATTTTAAAATCTCAAAAATGATCAAATATTTATTTTTCTCATCATAAAAATAATATGAAAGAATTCTCTTGCTTACCTATTATCTTTATCATTTTTGCAAATATATAATTAATAAATATTCAGATATGTAAATAAAAGATGTGAAATTTCTTCTCGTTGCATATTTTCATTTCGTTAGCATGAACAATCATATTCTAACAATTAATTATCGATTATTAATTCTTTTCATTAATCTATTTGCAGTTCCTGAAACAACTTTCTCACGATTCCAGTTCCGACAATGAGTGAAGAAAATGATCTCGACTTCAATCTATTCTTCTCATGAACGAACACTTATCAGGCCGCTTATCTACATGCATAGTCCGTAATCTTTTCCTTATACAACTTCCCTCTGTGTACACATACTTGAGCTCCACCTCTCGCATTGTCTAGCTGCTCAGTGTAACATACGTATGCTAGAAGATGGCTAGAACAGATATTTACGCTTTCACTCTATTTCATTTCTCTTGCCATCACATGTATTATCATTAATGAAGCAATGACAAAAATCGATGATGAACAGAATTAATCATTAGCTGAAAAATTAATTAGTTCAAATTTTATAATAAAATTAATTTAAATAATAAGTTTATTTAAAATACTCGAATAACATTTATTCGTAGTTATTATAATTAAACATTGTTTATATAATCTCAATTTAATTTTAAAATTATTGAATGTTTTGAACACTAAAATTGAAATAACTTTATTCTTAATTTCAATTTTAAATTCAAATTTTGTCCATTTCTGACGATGGATATATCGAGAAAATGAAATAGAATGATGATGTCTTTCAATCAAAGGAATTTTATTTGTTTATAATTTATACTTTAATTAGGGGGCCAATGTTATAAAATCATATTATTTCTCGATTTGCCCATCATCTTAGCAATAATGATAGCAGAAAAGTTGAAATAGAATGACATACTTGTCATTTTCTGAATGTAGTATAAATCAGAGGAGTACAGACAAATAGTAATTATATAAGAGAATAACACAGATATATATTATTTAGATAGCCAAATATATACAAATTAATTGAGAAATAGAATAGACAGATAGTAATCAAACAAGAATTAATAGTATAGATATATAAGAATCAGAGAGAATATAGAGAATATTATAGATGTGTGTTATTCAGATGATAGTTCAAGCATATATAGGTGGCTAGGTACAATATTCGCTATTTCTATCTTTTCTATCATCATTGTCATTATTGATTAAGAACATTAACAAAGATTAACAATGAGTATACCAAGATAAAGTGAAATAGAATGATGATTTTGCAACATAGCTTCTCAATCAAAGAAATTCTGTTATATTTGTATTTTTTATCAATTTTATCATTGGCTAATAATGAAAATGTGTAATGGCAGAAAAAATGGAATAAAATGAAAGTGCATACTTTGTCCTTTATTCTTTTCTTCTGACGAACAGACAGTATTTCTATGTACAGCGATATCCTCCATTTCTCGCGCGAAAGTAGTGCCACCAGTGGCGCTACAGCAAAATATACATCTGTCCCTGTGTTAAATGGTCTTCCCTCCACATGCGTATAAACGCATACTCTGGTGAATGCACGAATTCGGAGGTTTCTGGACAAAGGGTGAGCAGAGAAGGGAGGTGTTACGCTTCGTCTGGTCCTCCGTGAGATTGCACACCGTGACCAACAAACTACCACGGTTTACGGGATATAACTCGGGAGGAACGAGCTCGACAAGAGGGAAACGGAAAATGCGGGAAAATGGAGATGGTCAGGAAAGAATAGTGTATGTGAGAACAGGGAAACGTACTGGTTCAAGAGGTACATACATAGTATGGTGAGTGTGAAATCTTGATTTTAGGTTAGACTTAGATTCTAAAGAAGGTTATTTTTAGGTTATGAGAAATTGAACAAAATTTATCTTTGAGAAATAAAATGAGAAAACGTAGATTTTTAAAACTGAGGAACTATCTTTTCTAATTTTTTTTAAAAAGTAATACTATGAATATAATTTTCTTTATAATTTAATTTAAATTAAATTAGATCTAATCCTAGTAAAAATCCTAATAAAAATAGTAATGTTCAGGAATTTCTTCTAATAAAATTACTGATTGGTAAATGTCACAATAATCAATGTATCTATATATCTACAATTTTCAATGTATCTATATTTTTTTAAAATATACATCAATACCAAAAGTTCACAATCTTTGAAACTTAGTTCCTCGATCAAAAAATGCAAATTTTTTTCTAAAAATAATAATTTCTTCTCTGATTTTGATTAGATTGTTATAGAATTTTTTAAAAATTTGATATTAAAATTTAGGATTTATGAGATTTAACAGTAAAATCGAAGAAATAATAAAGTTAGTTGATTAGAAAATATAGTAGTAGTTTTAAATTACATTAAGTTCTTTGAAGAGTTATAAATTAATGTCAATAATTTATAATTTTGAAAATAAATATTAAAAAATTTTGAAGTTAAAGAAAAAAAACTTAAGAAAAATGAACTTACTATTATAGTAAACATAGTGATTTTGTATACCAATATTAACACATTATACATATTTATAATATATCATTCAGTGTTTCACTAGCGTAACTATTACGATATAGGCGACAACAGAGAGAAGAAAGCTCTCTAAGCTTCAGAGCTTAACTCGAACGGCATTGAATTAAGTTATCCAGGTCGTTGACGAATTCCTTTTCTCCACGGTCCTTAACTTTATACATAGTTGCCACTTAAATAATGAGATTCGTGACACTTTTAAACCTGTTAATATTTCATATTTCCTCGAAGAAGGAAAGTGGAAATTATTTTTGGAATAATATAATATAATATTCTCCAATATTGATGAGAATTTTGATTCTTGTGTTTTTTTTCTTATTTTAGATAATGTATCATTAATATAAAACGAAAATTTAAAATATTATTTAAAAAATGGCAATGAATATTAACAAACATTATTAATAGCGTAATTAAATTGAGAAAAATTCTTAATATAAAATATAAATTATTAAAATATAGATAGATAAATACCACGAATAAAAGTACAAAATTACTAAAAATAAAAATATAAAAATTAAATTTCGAGAATTTGTAAAGCGTAATAAGATTACTATGCATGAAATCGAAAACCAAGGAAAGAAAATGAGGAGATGAGATGGATAATAATATAGTGTTTCTTATTATATGAGAAAAAAGCAATTATAAAATATGTATCTTAAAAACAGAAAGAAGTAGTAAAAGAGCGAAAAAATAGGATAAACTTTTTACGATGTAAACGATATTACCGTGAAAAACTAAGGTAGAACACATATGGAAATAAAAATATTTAACAACGTTGAAACATACAGAGCATACGGTAAAAATTTAATTAGTAATAAAATAAAACGAGTATTCATATATTAAGAAACGAAAAGACGTGTTTTAAATGTGAAATGTGAAATATATTGATATCTATATTGATTACTAAAAGTTATATAAATACAATTTGAATATAGCTTATATCATTCAATGTCTTCAATGGCTCACTCTAATAATAAATCTTAATTTAATCTTAATTTAAAAATTTAGACATTAAATCGATAACAAATTTGTTAAATAAAATCATATAATTTTTAACTTTCACAACTTTAATCTTTTAAATTTTAACTCTCAAAAAATTCGACTTTCAAAATTTTAATTTTTGCTACTTTAATTTGTTAATTTCTTCAGCTAAATTTTAACTAAATTTTAACTTTTGCAAACTCAATTTTCAAAATTTTAATTTTCACAACTTTAATTTTCAAGATTTTATTTTTTCTGTTTTACAACTTTCACATTTTTTAAGTTCTACAACTTTAACTAAATTTTAACTTTCCCAATTTCTTTTCCCAACTTTCAAAAATTTCTTCTACTTCAATTTTCACGTTTTTTTAACTCCACTTCAATATTTCAATTTCACTATCCAAAATTACATAATCAAAAAAAACATCTATCTATCATGAGTCATCTTCAATTTTCAACAATACTGAATTTCCCTTTCTCTTTTCAAAACTTAAAAAACCATATTTCATTTCAAACTTCAAAATACAAAAATTTCTCTCCACCCATATATCTTTAAAACACAAAACGAGTAGTATCGCGATAGAAATACTAAACAAGAGGAGCGATCAGAATGGCCCCTACTATTCTCTGACCAAGTACAATGGCGCAGATGCTTCTCGGTGGTCTTTTAGGGGGCCTGTGTCGAAATGGTTCCGCATCGGGGTTCCTTTTCGCGTTACACAGGTTTATCAGAGAAGGCAGCCCCCTTGATCAAGGATGGGACCCACTCAAAACCGACTTCGACCTCGTGGAACACCCCTTTGGTTCGATCGATGGATTTTATTTGTGCTTTCCTCGTCTCTCTTCTCCACCGACTAAAACGTGCCTTTTGTGCGCTTCGAAACGTGGCACACGCGTGAACGTGTGCTCGAACAAAGCTTTTATCGATTTTACGTCCGATTTCGTTTCCTTTCTTTTCTTTCTCCACCCTCTTGCCTCAATAATAATATCTTTACACGAGATAATACCACGATCAAAGGGAAATTTAATATATCTATTGAAGAATATAATGATGTATTGAATCGATGTGAATTGGCCTGAAAGTTTAACCTCTCTTTTGTGCGCGTATTATGGATTTTTGTGTGATTAATTTATTTTTCATGTAAATCTGTTTTATCGGCTGGTGGTAAAATTTTGGAGAATTTTTGTCGTTACGAGGATGAGTTACGTTAAAAAAATTGTAGGATTAACGAGTTTGTATTTTTTGATAAAATTCTGCGATTAAGCTGAATTATGGGATTAATTTGAATTTTTTTGAGTAAATTTGCTTCATCTTTGTTATACTTTTGAATTATATAATTATCGTATGAATTTTAGACAATTTTAGGAATATTAACAAGAATAAAGTACATGAAATATTATTGTTTTTTTATAAAAATATATATTTTATATTTTTTTAATAAGTTTTCATAATTAATTATTTATAAAAAACAAATAGAAAAACTATCATAATATAAACGTGCAAATATATAAGAAATAACATAGAACATGAAATAAAATTTAAAAATTTGCAATTTTTTATAAGCAAAACGTAGAAAAATAGAAAACTTAAGTACTTAAGAAACTTTAATCTAGAAAAACATTATTTCGGTTCACGATCTTCTTTTGTTAATGTTTCGAGAGATCCAACTTTCTAAAACACATTAAGAGATTGTGGATGTCCTCTTGCTGGGACAGCCATAAGATCTACCACCAAAGTACAATTTCTCGAAAATCCTAGCTAACCATTCCTTTCATACAAATGTACCCTTTGATGTAGTGAAATGTACCCTTCACTGATGAATCCACTTCTTTTCTTTATGTTACAGTGTCACAAGTGCTGGTATCTTGAATTTTCAAAATAAACAATGTTTTCAACAGAAGAGACACTTGTTCAACCAAATTGAAAACCACAAGATTTCTACTAAATTTACTAAGTAAATTTTTACTAAAAATTTGGTTAGAATTGATAACCTTAAAAAATTTGCTTGGTAAAAAATACATGGATATACTCGCACAAAATCACTATTTTTAACGAGAATATAGAGAACTAGTATACGTTTAGGAAACCACGATTATTAAACATTCCAATTAAAACGAATCAATAAGGTTAATTAGTTCGCATAATTCTAGCTGAATATGGCGCGCTACGAAATGCGTGCGGTAAGTTATCGTGGAATGCAATTTATATTTAGGTAGGTAACTTTACTGGAACGGTGTAATTCATCTCCGTTGCAACTGTGATATCAGTGGTTGGCTTTTCGTTTGTCATATAATAGTGGAAAGTGGAAATCCAAGGATTTATGCCCCAGGTATAATAGAGATATAGATATATATTTATGAATAATTATAAATACACTTATTGCTTTAGTATTAAAATTTCATCATCTCTTAGAATTATAAATTGATTATCATAACTTTTATTTTGTATATATATTTTTTTTTAAAACGTGTTACAAAAGACATTTTCATTTTAATTCAATAATAATCTTATATATAATACACTTTATTTTAATTTAATATATTTCTATTTCAATCGATCAAGATGGACATGTTGATTGTATCTTGTGGAAATCCCACTTTCACTCTCATCGAGTAACGTGTTCTAACTGGCTCTTCGAGTCTGGCCTGGAATTGTTGATCACCTTCGTCGGTCACTGGAAGTAATAAGTAAATACGTGCGGTATTTCGTACACAAAGCGAAGGCATTCCGCCTCCAGTACAAGTTTAAGGACTTTATGTGGCAAATTCCTCGCATCTAGAGATGTTTAGCCACGATAATCATTAAACCGAGCATGAAATTGCATAATTTTCTGTGTACATTACGAAAATTACGATTGGAAACGTAATTGAAAATGATTGACGAATAACAAAAAGTTTTAATAAAAAAAATCGGATTTTAATAATTTAAAAAAAATATATATATAATTTGAAAAAAAGAGTATTTATAATGAATTGATGCGAGAAATGACTAGAAATTAAGATTTCCTCGCTTATTGATCGATTTATCTGATCACAACTTATTATTCTACTCGTTTGACCAAACGATTAGCAATATAATCTACCATTAGCCGAACTAATGGTTGACCTATACCTCTTGTCTGGCCCAGCAAATGCTATTTATCTGATCAAATGATCGATATATTATCGGCCCGACCAAAGGTTAACCTATACTACTTGATTGACCAAATGATTGAAGATGCAATATTGGTATGAACAATAGTCGACCTATACTATTTGACTGACTAATATATCATAATTGAGGATATACTACTGTTGTGGCTGATTTTAAAATATATTTCATTGCTTGTCATAAATATAGAAATGACTAACAAATTTCCTCTATCTTTTATTATTTCAATATTTATTATCTGTTTTATTTATTAAATAAGATATTCAATTATGATTAAAAGAAATGAAATTGTAAATCTTTGATTCTCAGAATTAAAATGATATATTAATCATAAATTCATATAGGATGCTTCTTAATATTTTAAGCAATGGAAGGATTATCTAGTACTACAAAAGGAATATATAATATTGATAAGCTTAGTAATATTCAAAGTGTTTCATTGCTATCTACGTTGAAATAGGATAAATTAACGTTTAATTACGTTTAATCTGGGATGAATTTGTTATTCTTTTCATGATTATTCTCTTTGAGTTAATTTTGTGATTATCTTAAGGATTATAACTATTGCAATTGTAAGGAATGATTTATGGTTGAATTTATGCAAGGATTTACAGTAATTTAGCTCCAAATATTGTTATATTTGAAAATGAAAATGAAAATGCAATGGAAAACTTTGCATATGCATTTGTTTCTATCTCGAATGATTGAGAATATTCTATTGGTCTGACCAATACTTGATTTATACTATACTTAGCATTTCAAGCATTTTAATAAATAATTACTTGAAATAATTTTATTCAAAATTTTTAATTTTTATTTTTTCAACAGGTTAATATCCAACTCTGATTTAAAAATATAAAAGTAGCGAGAGTGGTTGACTTGTTCTATTTATTCGGTTATGCAATTAAGGATATGAAATTGGTTTAGCAAATAGTTGACCTGTACTACTTGGTAAGAATACTTGTATTTGCTTGGTAAGAATATAAAATTTTTTTACTACTCATTTAATTAAATAAACTGAAAGTATATAGTTTTACATTATATTATAATATGATTAATATCATTATAATTTTTTATTAAATAAACAATTTAAAAATATTAATTAATTAAAATGTATGTATTTTTTAAAATCAACATGCGAGTCTGTTTATCTTCACACATTTGACCGTACAGAAAATAGTACAGAATGAAATTCAATACAAAATTATATGAAAGAGAATATATATTTTATGATATATTAGCCGTGTTATTGGGTATGGATTTAAATCAAATTGAGAGTAGACATTTCAAAAGGATAATGATTATAAAAATTGTGTTATACAAAATGAAAAGAGGAAAAATGGCAATTCGTCAATTCAACGATTGAAATTCAATTGTAACGGCCATCATCGAATATAAATTTGGTAAAAAAAATTATTTCGTTATTGAAAATATCGATGAATTATACTGGAATATAAAATAAAAGTTAATATCTATTTTATACGTCTAAAAAAATTGATGAAACGTGTGCCAAAATGTTGTTAATTAATATTGAAGGTAAAATATATAGATTTTAATTTATGAGAAAATTTATTCTTGCAGAAATATAACAAATATCTCTCTATTATGAATAATAATTTATATTATTTAATACACGTAATTATTAAAATTTTGTTTATTTAATGTAATTAATTTGTTTCATTGTAGCATATGTTTAATATTATTGTGTAAAATAATTATGAAAATTCTCAAATATTACAATATTTGATTATTATCTTGAAAGAAAAAAGTTACAGAATATAATAATAAAAAATAATAAAAATAATATATATGTTACATGTAATGATTCTTATACTTAAAAGGAATTGTTTCAGTCTACAAAAGGACCAATATTTGCCAGCCTTTGAGTTCGATCGAAGAACGATAAAACATGTATCAAAGCCTTTTTACATGTAAAATGTAATGTATCCAGTCTCCATTATTGCCTCAAAGCTTGTATCAACATTTTCTATTTACATATATCTATCTTCTGTTTTCTTTCTTAAACATCGTGAAGAACGTTCAAAAACTTCCATTTGTAAACGTTAACTCTGACTGATGTAGTTCTTGCAATCATTTTACTTTCAATTACTTAACAGATTGTGTTCCATTCTATTTTTGGGATACGTTTTTAAAAAGAAAACTTATCTTAGAAATATAATAATTAATCGAAATAATTACTTTGTAGAATTTAACAAAATATAATAATAGATTAGAAAATTTTAATTTTATTGTAATAACTTTACATCAAATTAATATCATTTTCTTAGCTACATCTAATTTTTAATAGATTTTTTTTATCATTGCATACTATCATCTCTGTTACGAGAATTTTTTTTTGCTTATTATTAAAAGAATTAGTTAATTATATTATTCTTCAATTTAAAATTTGATTTAACTACTTATTTGCTTAAGGAATCGATATATTATTTGCTCGGCTAATAACTGACTTGTACCACTTGTCTGAACAATGCTCCTCCTACTACAATAACTTCCATAATTAAATATTTTCGAACAAAAAAGAGGAAGACTTTCTTCAATTGAATTCCTGAAATAACACTAACTTTCTATAGAAATATTACATTTATAATATAAAATATTTACTTTCTGATTTTCTAAATCAAATATTTTGTTTTAAGGAAGAAATCTTAATTCGATCGAAGTAGATTGCAGATTTATGCATTTATGAAGAATTTTAATCTATAGAAAATCTATAGAATGCAAAAAAATTTATAAAAATATCTATAATAAAATATTGCTCGACCATGAGAAGATGGCAAGAAAAATTTGAATATTATTGATTAATTTATCTGATATTATCTGATATTTTTCTTTTCTTAATTCAAAGCAATTATATTTATGTTAAATTTTCTGATAAAGAAAACAAATGAGCATATATGTAAGTATAATTAGAACAAATAAAACGATATTGTGATGATCATTTCAAAATATTGGCGAGTATTAACTATTCACAAAATAATTTATGAATATAATGATAAAATCCTATTATTATGTTAACAGATGGACTATGGACTATAATAACTATAAATTAAGAAGATTAAGCAATGTAAACGAAGATTTAATTTTTTAAAACAATACATTGTTATAATATTTTCGAAAACATTGTCTCACTTATATCACATGGATAAATTTAATTTTTAAATGGATCATAAAGAAGAGATTTACAACTCGAATCGGCTTTATAAGATTTATAAAAATATTAACTATTCATAAAATAATTTACTCATTATTATGTCAATACATGATAATCTTAAGAATATAATGAAGAAAACAAAGATTATGTCTTTCTTCTCTACTAACAATCTTCTCATAAACAGTACAAAAGTACATATTATAATATTTTAAAGATAAAACAAATTTCTATTTCAATTCTATTCCTATCATGAAAATTTTAATTTGAGAATAAAAATCTAACATTAATTATCTAATAATTTTATCTAATTTTAAATTTGTATATTTTTCACAGAACAGAAATTGTCGAAAGCATGACTCCACCTATATCACATAGACACAAATTTAATTTTTAAACGGACAGACGATCCAGAAGAAAGACCAGTCCCAGAGAAGTAAGAAGAAAAAGGAGGAGGAGGAGGAGGAGAAGAAAGAGAAGGGTAGCTGATGGCCCGACGATATCTCGGACTCTCGAAACTTACCGGATAGACGAACTCTTCGCCAAACTTTCCTGCTCCAGCTCCTTGATAGTTAAAAGTTTGCACCAGCTTGGTGTTGATCTACTTCACCCACGCTCCGATTAATCGTGATTCCGTAGAACGGAGTGACTTAAGGAAGTAGCCTGTGCAATGTGAAAACGATAACATAAAGTAAATTGAAATAAAGGGAAGAAGAAGAACTGCGCGGAATAATTATCTGCATGAGGTCATTCCATTGATATAAAAACTTAAATGAATCGGATTAAATACATTTTTTATTATTAATTATTTATAATTATTTATAAAAAGATATTAGATCTTGGATTTCCGCGATTTTTTTTCAATATGCTTAATAGATTAATCATTCTGAATGCATAGAAGTTTTACTTAACAGTTTTCGAAATAGTTTAGGTTAGATAAATCAGATTTTATCAGTTAAAAAAATCATTTTTTATTTAATTATTTGATCCGAGACAATTAAAATTAACATAGAATTAATATAAATTAATTGATATTAAATTAAAATTTATTTAAGTTTTGGTTTTATGATTTATATTGAATAATTGAACGTTTTAATAATAAATAACTGTCAAATAAGACTTTCACAATAGTATTTATTGTAATGATGTTTGAAATCAAAGATTGATATCTTTTTATAAACATGTATTTATCATGTATTTTTTTTTTTTTTTTTTTAAATATTTATCATATAGTATAGTTTAAGTTCGTAAAATGACAAAATTATGTATTTATATAATACATTTTAATTATTTAAGTACAAGAAAATAAAGGATGATTTTTTTGACGTAAGAAGCTGTAAATTGAAACATTGAAATTACTAATAATATCAAACGATGTATTTCACGATTAATATTTCTCGAATTCTAATATTTTCTCCACTATTTAATCACAAAATGATAAACAAAGCGTCGCATATTAACTGTTTCACGTTTCTCTTCTCTTAAATCTTTTAAAAAATACTTCATCTTCAACATAAAGGAGGGAAAAAAATACGGAGTGAAACAATTCAAAAAGGATTCTCTTCGCTAAAACCCATTTAAATGCACACCGTTAAAATGCTAAACAAATGCAGAAAACGACGAAACAGCCTAAAAGAGAGCAAGGGAGTGCGAAAGGGAGGAGGGGGAGGTGGAACGACAACAACCTTAGAATATGCTTAAATCTCCACTACGTCTTGGAGAGTTTAGCACGGTTCCCGTGCTGGAAAAATAAATTTTCGACCGGTCGACGAACGTAAAGGGATTGAAGAGAAAAGAACGAAACGAATACAGGGCTGAAAAGAAGATAGAATACCAAGAGAGAGAGAGAGAGAGAGAGAGAGAGAGAGAGAGAGAGAGAGAGAGAGAGAGAGAGAG